ATATATAAATGCACAAATGTTCTTTTCTTTGTATTTGTCTTATTCTAATAGTATTTATTGGCAGTTTGCAAACAATGTATTTCTGCCACCAACTGGTACAGAGTGTGGAYAAAGATAGCTAATTTAAAACAAACCAAGAACCTGCTTTCACATGGCGGATATGTCTTGTCCTCCTGACTGTTCAACAGAGAGATAAATGTCACACTGTTGCAAATTTGTACTGTAAAAGCCTTTACGAGTATGATTTCACAAACAATACTGGACCAATACCTATTTGGTTATCCCCACCTGTGGTTTTCTCAATTAAATACATGTCAACACCTTTGGATGTTTACCTGTGTAATGAGACTGAAAAACCTGTAATTTTCGCCAAAAAATCCATTGTAATCACATGTGGAGGGGAGGGTCAGGGTACAGGTGGACTGCAGCAAAATCAGAAGGAAATGAAGCTGTTAGAACTGAAGTGGAAGTAGATAATTGATGTTATTTATTGTTTTTTTTTTATTTTTGTTTGTTTTTTGTAATGTCCTACAGGATCTGACATATTAAACAAATTTGAAACTGAGTTTTTGAAAAAAAATCTGTAAAACATGAACAAATCTTTGAGATTGCTATATCAGTCTGTATACCTGCCAACTGATGGGAAATCCATGTAAATTACAGACAATCCGTACAACTTGACATGTATGAAAATGGAGATTCAGTAATACTTTTGTCTTTTAACTAAGTATATATCATGAACTACTGAATTTTAAAACATTGGATGTATGGTACATTTACACCTGATTAACATTTGGGGTCAATGCCATTTAAAATGGCCACCATAAATATTCACTCTTAGCAAAGTCAAACATGACAATAAAAAAATGCTGTGGTTTTATCTGAGTGTTTTTCAACCTATAGCCTACTTACAAATCTAAAAGATGATGCACAAACTAAAGGCCAAAGTGTGACTTAAGCCCTATTCTGACAGGATTAGTTTTATCTAGGGACCCCATGATTGTCTGTGTTGTTAAGCCCATGAGAATTGGCCATGTAAGTAATTTGCAAAGTAAAAATTCCCCCATTAATTACCTACTATATTTCACTTTACTCCGAGGTCCTGTGATAATACTAATCCAATGTGAATAGGCATCTCTATTATTTGGACTGGAATGGACTGAATCCCATATGTAATTAGGCGGTTTTGGTTTTCTTGATGCATTTTGTTTACTTTTGGTGAAGAATGGAGGCTGGATTGGAGTGCACTGAACACCTTTTCGGAAAAACCCGACATATTACGTGCGCCATAAAAAAAGAAAAGTCTGAAGAGAGGGAGCAAAATTAGATGCTAATGGTGGCTCACTGTACGGTAAGCCTTCTGACTGATGCTGAGTGTTGAGCTGTGGCCGTAGCGCAGTGCACACTCTCGCTTTGGGTAGCTGGTGCGCGTACCCTCGCCAGCTGTGAAGGTGTTCATATGTCAACCCCTTTGGACGTTTACCTAATAAGCCTCAAAAATCTATAWTTTTTTGCTAAAAATCCGTACCACTCGTACCCACGCGTGGGAGTCTGTCGGCTGTGGAGATGACAGTGCCTGCTGTAAGCAGGAGGAGAGGAGAGCGGAAAAAGTGGAGAACTTGATGTTTATTTTTTTTTTATGTCCRTTCAATGCCGTGTTCAACTAAATACAACTAATCAAGCTTCAATATCACATTTGGGAGATGTCTGTAAATTTCAGGAAAATCTCAGGCTTTGGTTCTCCCATGCGAATGCACCACATAAAACAGACGTCAGGGAGTAATTTATTTATTACATGGGGTCCCCAGACAACTCTTATCCTGTGCGAATAGGGCTTTAAACACTAATCTCTCATTTTTTCAACACAAGACCATTTTGGTTACATATCTGCCATGAAAGGTGGCAACCATAACCCCAGATTTACACTACATGCAACTCCAGTCCGCTGCACTGCGGTGCACAGTTTGCAGCTGTTCCAATTTATACAGCCTCCGCTTCGCTCAGCTCTGCTCCAGTGCGACGRGAGCGTGTGCAGGAAGAAGAATGGGCAATAAATCCAGTGTTAAATGTGGAAGTCAGAGCGAAAAATAATTAATTCTGTGAAAGACAAACTCCAAACAAAGCTGAAAACATTGATATAAAGGCAGATAAAATCATAGAGATAAAAATCTCTATGGTTGAAAGTGTCATATTTTGGAAACTTCTGATTTCAAAATAAAATCCACGTGTATTGTGTGTGTACACATGCTTCATGCTGCATGTTGCCATCTGCTTCCCAAACAAAACCATACATTATGACAGCATTTGTGTAGAAATATGTCCATACATTGATAAATATAGCTGAAATTTTGACAGAATTATTCCACCTTATGCTGTCTTATTTTGAAAGTACAGATGTTGTGTTAGTTCCTTTTCCTGTTGGTGCGACGTGATCTTTGTAAATTGACTCTGGAGCAGCTCCGGCATCCAGCAAAACTAGGATTGGATCTAATTTTGCCTGTTCGCCATCCGCTCACTGCCATCATGCGCCGCCGTGCGGAGCCAGTGTAAATACTCTCATTGATTATAATGGTTGCGTATTTGCTGCAGAGGTCGGACCGGAGTAGAGCAGAGACACATGTAGTGTAAATTGGGGGTTAGGCTTYCGTTAAAGGAAATTGTTTGTCTTTCTGCTTTCTTCTCCCTGAACTAATTTTTATAGTGCTGGTCAAGATTTGCCTCAAATTTGCTGTTCAGCATTTTCTTTATGTTTAAAGTAAATGCAACTTCTCAACTTCAATAGCCTACTTTTGAAGCTCATGTTGTATTTAGGTCCACTTTGCAATCAATGCATAATGTTCACTTAACAAGAATAAACTGAATAAAATAAGTAAATAGAGTAAATAAAATCTGTACCCAGGCTAATGTCCCAAACTAATGTGATGAGTCGTCATTGTCTGAACATTTGGCCAAGAATTTTTCCTGGCACAGTTTCTCTGTGCACCAGGTGGYATGCAAGAGTTATCTTTGAGAGTCAGTGTCCTAAAAAAACATTAAGAATGCATCCCAGAAGACACTGACTGTGATGCAGCAAAAG